TTACTGCACTGGGGAATTCAAAGGTAATTTTGCCTACAGTGTCTATTCCTCTAAGTGGTGTCTCCTGTTTCATCTTGGTTCTAAGAAATCTACCTGAGAAGTCAGCTCTTAGATCTGCCTTCCAGAGAGACTGAGTCATGGATCGCTAAAAGTGATGGGCAAATATCTCTGCAGAAGGAACATCAGACCCAGGGGGAGTGTTAGACCAAGGGGAAGACATAAATAAAAAGGAAGGACACACCCAGCCAAAAAGACAGTCTACTCAAGGGGTTCACCTGGTGCTTCAAATACTGCTGTGGCAAGAATTAACATTCACTTTCTGTGTCCATCCTCCCTTTGAGCAAAACCAAATAAAGTTGCCATCTGTAGTTGCTGAATGCTTTCTGAAAGCTGGCTTGGCAAGGCTATAAAATATAAATGAATTACATTTTATTGGTGTTAATTAAGAGACGTCATCTCAGAAAATACACCAGTAGGATTTGGTCAAAATATAGTGGAAGGTTTTTGATAGGATTGTGTGTATGGGATTTACTTCCATCTGAAAACAGTATTTATCCTTCAGATTTTTCAGACAGCATTCCATTAAGGCCACATCCAAAATGAAGTTATAATGGTGAAATATGAGTGCAAATATTGACTTTTTTTTTATATCTGTTCCAGGCAGAATATGAAATTGCTCCAGATGAAAAGCTGGGAGAGAAAGGAAAGGAGATCATGATGAAATACCTCACCCCAGAGGTAAGGGACAGCCAAAGTGGCATTACTGAAGGAATGCTGCAAGGCACACCTTTGCTAAACAAGGTTGTTATAGGCTTTGTAAACCAGAGTCCTAAAGTTTATGGTGGCAATCTCCAGTGAGTAAACCTGCGGGTCTTATACAAACAGTCAGAGAGAAAAAAATGATAATCCAATCCAGCAATTGCCTTCTATGGATGAACTTTAGCTTCCCAGGGGCTTAATTCTCCTGTGGATGAGCAGGGTCTTCTCTGGACGCTTCTCAGGGCACAAAGCTCTGTGGTGTAATGCAAGAGACCTCAGCTGTCATCAACAGATGCCACAATTGTTTCCTATCCAGCTCGAAAGAGGTGGTGGCATTTCATATGTTGTGTAGAAAGCACCGGCAAAAATGATCTTTGGTGACAGAAACTGTATTCTGGGGCAAAAATACTCACTCCTTCCCCCTCCCTAGTTTGCCCAGTGTAGCCAGGGACATGCAGGACTGACATGGGCCAGTGTGTTTTCGAGCCAAGAGGTTGGGTTCCTCAGCGTTGGTCAGGATTGGAGCTCGTGGCAGCAGCTGTGTCCACAGGGTGGCACTCCCAGCAGAACCACAGGTCTGCTGGAATTTTGGACAAGCTGCACTGGGACTAACCCTTTTTTGGGGAGGTTCGGATCATTTGATGACCGCACTTAACCTTTGCAACAAAAGTCACTGCAATAAACAACTTCAAACACAAGAACAATCCGAGGATTTTTCCTAAATTGCTTTCATAAGGGTAATCAAGATGTACAATTGCTGCTTCGACTGTTTTACAAGAGAAATACATTTGACCTTCAGGAGAATTAATTGCATTTTTGGCAGATGTCTTTCTACAGCATTTAAATGGTACAAGATGTTTTGGAGGTGCAGGGGCAGAGCAGACCACTTTTTTTCCAGTCAGTCATTTTCCTACAATAAATTTCAATGCATACTTTCAGTTATCTCAGACTGCATTTTGGGATCTGGTTTCATTTACTGAGCCTGGCTACTTTCATGTGCAGCCATTTAGCACTGCCAGTATGAGTTCCTGCTGCCCATTCATTAAGGGCATGAAGTTCCACTACTTTTTAAATCCACCAAAATGACCGTTTGTCTCTAAATTTTCTGTCAACAGAGGAACGAGGGACAAATACTGAGGGGAAATATTTCCCCATTGCTCTAGTTCTCATCTGGAAATGGAGGAAGGCATTTTGCTGATAGCAGGGCTAGTAAAGTGAGAGAGGAATAGTACTGCTTCGTTTCAGATGGGCTTGGTGCGCATTTCCAGGCGCCAGATCCCTTCCCTGCTGTCCCACAGCACTCCTGCCATCCTTATCCATTGGCCAACAGCCCTATAGTGTAGCAGAAGCACATGGAATAGTTTGTGAATGTGCAGTGTAAATCTGTCTGAGAGCGGTTGCTTCTTCATCAAGAAAAAATGGTAGTGTTACAGGAAGGGAAATTACTGGGACTCCAGAGCTGGAGTTTCCATTCTTTGCCATGCTCTGCAATTCATATTTCACTTGTGTACTTGGTTTCTCGGTACGTAAAATGGGCACAGGATATGTACAGTCTGTTCTGAAGCTTTTCCGGTATTTGCAAGTTACCTTAGCGTCTTTGGGCAGAAGGAAACACAAGGTTGTACTCCTTCACTTGTAATCTAAAACTGCCTCCCCGGCGGTGCTGCTGCTTTAATGTCTGCATTGGTCTCGTTGCACTTTTTTCTCTTAATGGGAAACTTCTGCTTCTTCTCGGAGGGATGTTTAAGCCCTGTGTAGCAGAAAATACCTCCTAGAGGTGAGGTTGACTGTGCCATAGCCATGAGCTGAATGCTAGATGCTCTAACAGGCCTCCTATGCAACAAAAACTTTAAAAAACTGGATCAAGGCCTGGATTAATTTGATTTCTTTTTAGATAACTAACTAAGGTACTCAGGAGTTCAGGTGGCCTACTGTCCTTTTTTCTCAAGAAAGAGGTTAAGAACCTTCAAAGGATGGGTTTTAAGTCATTAGAAGTCAGTGATTCAAAGCCAGGTTAGGTGCTTGCAGTAAAGAGGGATGAATCTGGACTCGAATGTCCTAATGGAATACCATCCTGGCCAGCAAAGAACGCTCCTTTTCATTAGGAGCTGCCTTTCTCCAGGTAGTTATCAGTCCTTTGAAAGATACAAATTGCCTGATTCCAAAGTCTTTTGCTTTCAGAGGAGTGCTTCTTTTAAGTAGGAGTGTGTGTATGCTTCAAAGAACCTGATTGTCTTGATATAAAAATAGTGTGACATACAGTTTGACTGATGGAATAAAATTGTAGGTTTAGTTCTTGGACAGATAATTCAGTCTTACAATGTGAGGAGTATTTTTCCCAGAGTGCATGATCAGGAGCAAAATGAAAACAAAAAGTAGACTCCATGCTCTTTTAATATTTATAAAAGATTTTTGGTTCTTGCTTAGATTTTTAAATGTCATACATATTTAACATACAATGTGTCAGTATATCATCATTCTAAAGTGCATTCATTTGCATAGGGAACATGCTCTTCATTTAGTAAAACATATACTACTTGCATAGCAGAAAGGAAACCTCTTTCCCAGATGCAGCCTCATGTGACTCCTGTGGCCTCTGTCTGCAAGGTGGTGCTACCCCACGCAGGTAGCAGACTCAAATGTGTGGGAGCCCTGAATTCCCGCATGGAGAGCTCTCTGAGAACATGCGGCATCAGCCCTGAGGATGCCAAACGAGCTCAGCACTTGCCAAGGTGGTTGAGAGTGGAGGCACTTTTTCAAGTACTCCCAATTCAGGCTCTTTGCAGCTTTAGCATCCTGAACTGCCCCTACATGCTCCCTGGGGCAGTTAAGAAGAGGTCTAGCAGCCTTTTGTAGGGGTTGATGCCAGGGTCAACATGAGCGTGTCAGACTTCCACCAACTGGCCTACAGACAACAGCGATGACAAATTCTGAATGTGTCCTGGAACCTGAAAGGGAAAATGGGTGGTTTAGGCCTCTTGAAGAACCGGCATGTAGGAACAACTTCCCTAGGGATGTGGTAGAGTCCTCATCACTAGAGGCTTTTAAGATGCGATTGGACAGGATGCTAGATCATAGAATGGTTTGGGTTGGAAGGGAGCTTAACGACCATCCAGTTCCAACCCCCCTGCCATGGGCAGGGACACCTTCCACTAGACCAGGTTGCTCCAAGCCTCATCCAGCCTGGCCTTGGACACTTCCAGGGATGGGACGTCCACAGCTTCTCTGGGCAACCTGTCCCAGTGCCTCCCCACCTTTAATAATATAATCTCATCATAACTATCTAATAGATAATCTTATCTAGGCTCCCTTTCCCACAAAGTTTGGACAGATGATCTTTAAAGATCCCTTCTAACCTGAGCTGTTCTATGATTCGTGCTCAGGTCCTCACCTAGGAAGACGTTAGTATTCCCTCTCTCTTACCTAAAGTTCATTGAAATATTCATATATAACAGGCCTTTTTGAATTATTGGATGGAAGGGAGCTGTAAGGAGTACGTATGATCTTCATGCTGAGGATACCAAAATACTAGTGTTTTCATGGCTTCCTTAAGCAGCTTCACTTGAGTGGTGAGCAGGAGAGCGAAAACCCACAGCAGAGGTGTCCTGTGGCTGAAGACACTCCCCATCCTTGAAACATGCTCTGAAGAAGTGTTAACCTACTTCTGCGAGGAGGTCCAGCTGTGGGCTGGCTACTCCTCAGGGACAGTGTGGGGACAAAGACTGGTGGGAGGGCCTTGTCTGTTAGGAGAAAGAGACCCAACGAGGCATGTGCCGCTTTAGGAGGAAGAGACCCAGTGAGACATGTACTGCTTCAGTACTGTAATCCAAAGGGAACACCAGTTGCAGGCTGCCTTTGCTCAACAGGAGCAGCGCAGTGGTTGCCACACTGGCAAGATCAATGTTTCTTGACTAGACTCTTGCTTAAACAAGAGAGGCTTTAACAGTCTCCATGAAAAAGGCACTTAAAGCTGCCTTCTTGACTTAATAAGCCCATAGGGCAAAAGTCCAACCCACAGGAAATCTAAAATTTCTGAGGTTGTGAAATACGATGGTAAAACTGCTAAAATGAATTGGTCACAAATATTTCTTTCCTGGCTTTTCCTAATCTCAACAGTTGAGCGGGAATGTTTCAGTTTTAGGTTCCAGTTCTGTGTGTGTAGTGGAAAAGCCCTCGGTGCTTCGTGGAACACTTGAGTTAAGCTGAACCCAACCTGGCTTCATTACCTGGTGGCTTCTTTTACTGGAGGAGCAAAGAGATATGTTTGCCTTTTTACTCCTTTTAAATTAGAGTTCTGCATCTCCACACAGCATTTTTGCCTTCCTGCCTGACAGCTGCCATGCCCTACTCTACTAAATCACTAGCCCATTATTTTATCTTTCACTGTAAATCACCTTGAGATACTTTCAGAGACACGATATAAAACTAAATTGATTTGAAATGGCTCTAAAGACAGTCTCCATATGCCATTATAGTTTATATTTGGACTCAGCTGGGTACTAAAAATGTTACTGAATAGGATGTCTAATGTGTATTGTTATCCCCATTAATATACTTCACAGAATATGAAGAACAGGGACGGCATTAGTTTTCTTATCTGAATTCCTGTTCGGTCTCCTTTCCTCCTGGAAATGCACAGAATAAAAGCCATGTTTGCAATTTCTTTCTTTGCTGCAAGAGGTTAGCTGGACAGAGCAATAATCTCCTTACTCCAGTCTAAGGCTAGCACTGGGTATTTTTCTACATGAAAATATGTCTTTGTTTTTATGAACAATTATAGGATAAGGAAGGGAGGGAAAAGTCCCGCGAAAAGGAAACTGGCTGATCAGCAGTGCCTGGCCTTCCACTTGTGTACTAGCCAAAATGTGCTCTTCTCGCAAATCAGTTCTTTATGGAGAAGAAAACATCTATGTAATAGGGGTGAGATGAAATTAAAGTGATGTATGAGCCCGTCTGCTGGCCAAGGCCAGGCAGTCAAG